AAAAAAAAAAAAAAAAAAAAAAAAAAGAGGACATGCACACACAAAGCAAAGCTGCTGTTATGTGGACCCAGGGCACAGAACAGGTGTGTGAAAAATTCGTATATGAAAACCATCACTTTTCTCCCTTTGATATTACAAAACTTCATATTTTAAAAAGAACTCTTCTGCTTACAGCTGCCACAAATTTGGCATCTGAGATCAAAAGAGAGGAGGAGAGCTGTGCTGTAATAGCATTCTTTACTTGAAATGTCTGGAAATTTTAAAATTATTACATTTAAAAACGAAAAGGTGTGAGCATGCTTTAATTACTGGGTAACACTTGAGATTTTTATCTAAACCTGTTGCAAATTAATGTTTGAAGAGAAAGTAAAGCATTAAATCATATTTCCCCCATCTTCTTCCTCCCCCCACATTCTTACCTGCACATGATAGAGAAAAAGATGGGTTGCACAAAGTTGATTTAAAGCTGCCTTTCACATACTGTTTCTCATTGGAGCTTGGCATAGTTCTAAACTAAGATCTTCCCATTGCTGCTGTAATTTGTCCTGACTTGTAGCGGTCATCTGAGAGCAAATAGTTTAGCAGAGAATAGCTGTAGTGAACTGTATTCTGGCCTGTTTTCCTTCTGCCATCAGCTGGTGGGCCAGCCCAGACGTATTTCTTTACGATGCTGTACAGAAAAGCTTTATAATTGTGATCCTATGGTGGTGGGAGTAGGGAGCATTCCCCATCTTCACCAACCTCTTTCTACTATTTTAGTGTGGCAAGGTACAGCTGAAGTACAGGGTGGAGGTACTGACCCATGAGTTGTATGTAACTATTACAACTACATATCCTCTGCTGAACCCTAAATCCACATTTTTTTTAAGTGCCTTACATGCAGATTTTGAATATATGAGCTTGGATATAATCAGGTTTGAATACTTCATCATTGACAAATCAGCGTTCTGATCTTTGTTAAAATTGCATAATCTTTGTCCGGCTGTCTCATCTGGCAGCTGAACCACCATGTACTATTCTGTGAAGGCAATCCTGTGCATTGCACCTTCACCTTGGAAAAACCCTGGGCCTACCAAGTGCAAAGGGTCAATGTATCATCACTTCATTTAGAGGTCTTGATGAAATGGCTGCAGATCTCAGTCATCCATGGAAATAATTATTAAGAGTTCTGTTTTAGAGAGGGTTCCTGCTGCTTGAGCAACAGTTGTGTGAGAAGGAAGGTACACATCTCTTTCTTCCTGATAGCTGTTAGTGAGTCTCTGTGCAAACAAACCACCAATGCAGTTAACTATTGAGAAGAATGTTCATCACTTCATGTTGACTTGAGTACTGTCGCATAGCTTTTCCAGCATCTTCCATAGTACACTATTGGCTTTCTATCACATCCTGATTTCACTGTTCTAGCTAGTTGGTTTTTTGAAAGTGATATAAAACACACAGAAGTTACTGCTCATTTAGTCAGTATGTTTACAGACTTGCAAATGCTGTAATTTCAGAAAGATTTCACTGCATTTGTAATGTTGACTTTTCTAAAGATACCATCTGTGCAGGATTCCCAGGCTTGGGTCTTCTCCTGACAAAAGGCTCCCAGAGCCATGAAGATTTTTGCAGTCCTACAAGCAGTGGTAGCTAGCAGATTCACCAGTAAAGCCCACTTCCCTCAGCTGGTAGTTGTGAACAACTTCTGGGTGCGATGTCTAGCTTTGGAACCTTTCTTTGGTTTCCTCTTTGAATTACAGCCAGCAAGATGTTTTTTATAGGAATTGTCAAGTTACTACTCTGAATCTACTTATCCTATAGGTTTTGTTCTATTTCTGCCCTCCAGTTCAGCTTGCTACCCACAGCAGTCTCCCTCCCTATCCCTTTGGAGGGATTTGTCCAACAAGGTATTTCTTCAACAGTAAGTTTCCTCTCTCTTCCAGAGGAAGTCTCAGCCACGTTTCCTGCCTGATTCTTTTCTCGTCCCATGATCAAGCACATTCTTGCACACTTTCCTGCCCACACCTCCTATAATCTGCAAGGCAAGACATGTTTTTTTCTACTCTACATACAAGAATTTCATCTGTGGTATTCCTCAATGTTAGGCTGATGGCACCAGCTAATTATGTATGGCAGGAACGATACTGTCTGCCTCTGTCCATTCTCACCTATGAAGAAGTCAGCATTTATGCAGTGAAACATTCCTTAAAAGAAAACCTCACCTACTTCTTAGTGCTGTTTTGGACAGATTTGTCTTCCCTTTCCTCAGGTAATTTCATTGAGTAATGACATGTGAATGAAGTTACTGTCAATTTCTTTTTTTGTAGGTACTGTATTTACTTTATAATGGAGATGGAGGGAGGAGAAAATGAAGGTTCCTGCAATTTAGGCTTATTTGGGATGATATTGTTTATTATTAAAATTTACTTTATTTTTTTTAAGCTTCTTGGAAGGGTGGGGGCTGAGTGCTAAAAAAGATTTTTTTTTTTTAAAGAAAGCAGTTTTGTATAGCAGTATGTTGTGTGGAACAACTTTGATTTTAGAAAATACATATTTAAAGTTCATTTGGACTGTGGAAGTTGCTAAATTTCTGCCTTTGGAAGCCATTTGAAATAAGCTCCCTCTTTGTTTGCTCCCTGCTTTCAATAAAAGTACCTGGTAGTTCCTTTTACATCTTGTCTGAAAAATAATTGCAGGACTCTTGTCACCTAGAGACTCTTGGGTCTTTTCTCAACTGAGAACTTTGGTGATTAAAAGAATTTTGCAAGTAGTCAACTTGTGTATGATTAATGTAGTAGACCTAATTTTATTTACTTGAATGTTTAGGTGCACAGCTGCATCATACTGTGTTGAGCAGGTTACTGCATATTCAAATCTGGCAAATTGAACATGCAAATTCTACCATGAGCTATGTGGAAATTATGTGCAACTGCATACTTGTGTGCAAAGAGTGCATGTAACTTACTATAATTTGTCTGTGCATATGACTTTTAAAAGATCTGGTTGTATCTTTATTACTTACCATTGGGTGCATTTTTCCTTAGGAAAATTAGTGTAATATCTGCACAAGGGATTAAACTGAATAGTCTAGCATGTCTCTTATTTACCTTTGACTAACTTTAATTTTATACGTGTGATTTAAGATGCAGTATATAGGGGCTCTTCTGCCATGCAGTGAAATTTAGTTTCCTTTCATATCTCACTTATGCTCAAGTAGGTTATGTGAAGAAATAAATGCATTAATGTGGACATACACTTCTTTATATTATTAAGGACTGGGTTCAGCGAGATGAACACCTAATAGAAATAAGTATAGATGCTACAATTTTAACAAGGCACTGGTTGTAATCAAGACTTTGATTAATGAAGTAATGATGTGGTCAGTAAAGGAAAATGGAAAAAGCAGGTGCAATACTTGAGCTTGACTGTGGCTGTATTGACGCAGTTCTGATGCAGCTGCTCCTGTCTCTTTAAATAACTCATATTTTTCTCTCTAGAGCTAATATTTTTTTCTTGAATAATTGAAGTTAAAATAAAAGATAAATAATTAAACTCTGGATAGAATAACTTGGTTCTTGCAGTGGATGGCACATGATTTATCCAATTGTGTTCTACAGCCTGGGTATTGCAAATTAGGATACTTGATTCTGACAACTTCTATGTCTCATTTGACTGGGAAAAATTGAAATATGGTTTTGGAAACCTTAGGGTCATATAAAACCTTGAGTTGGTGAGAGTAACCTTGGCTATCACAACACTGAGAATGTATTGAATTAAGTGATGTGTTTGGCAGTGAGCATAATGGAATGAAAAAAAAAACATTTAGGCAACTTACAGGTGTTACGTTTTCTACTAGGGGAATTGCCACTATCCCAATAGAAATGACATGTGTACAAAGTACTCATTCAGTTTCTCCCAGGGGAAACATGCCCCTTCCTGCAGAAAGATCTTTCAGGTGTCAATCTGGAAGATTTCTCTTGCAAGAGGAACTTTCTCACGAGAATGGACACCTGTACGCACTCCCACTTGGTCTGGGAGGGGAGCAGTGAGGCACAACTCTCCACCTCTTCCCCTGCCAAGGAATGCCTGGTTTGGGGATCTAGTTGGGGGCTTTTCCCTGCTGCTTCCCTCCCAGGTTGGTCCAGGAGGGGAGACTGGAGTACCAGGGGCAAAACACCCTTCCCACTTCCTGGACTGGGGAGTTTGCCCTTGCTGTTTTCTCTGTAGGTGGCATTTAAAGTCTGCAGGTCAGGAACTGTGGCAGACCTCTCCTCACTGTGGTTTTGAAAGCGTTGCCTGTGCTGCCCAGCCAGTAGAAATAAAGGCCAGTCCATGGCCCTAGTGACCGGTTATTTCCTGTATTCAGCCATGAGTTAGTTTTGAAGACCCATATCATTTTGCTTCCTCTGGCTTCTTTTTCTTCTTCACTTAATTTCCTAAGCCTCCAGCTAAAAGAAAATTGTTTGTAGCTTCTCTCAAATCCAGTGGATCCTGTAAATTTAAGGTGGTGGTTCTGTGGAAGTGGAATTGTGCAAAATATGAACTATTTAATAACTTAAAGTTTTTTATTACACAGAGTTAGAAGCTACTTATTTAAATGGGGAAGTAGGGCACCCAGTAAGTACTCCTAATCAAATTGGCATTTATTGAGAAGCCATTTTGCTGGAGCAGCACTTTACTTTATAGGGATTTTAAGCCCTCGAAAATAGATCTGCAACTGGGCTTGAACCTCTTGAAATGGGCTTGAAATGTTCCATCAGGTTGTATTTTGTTTTAGATCAGGGATGAATTTGGTCACGTATCAAGCCTTATTTGATTAAGGAACTTGGTAAGCACACACACACATCCTAATGAAATCTAGCAGTTTTGCTGTTATCCACAACCTTGATTTGAAAACCAGTTTTATCTTTTTAAAAATTGCCAATACGTAAATAGAAACTCAAGAGAAAGTCCTACACTAACTAAAAAATTACAGTTGCCATTTTGTCATGTACTTTGTGTTTCCTCCCTCTTCCCTATAGGCTTTTGTGGATTTCTTCTCTCAAGGCCTCCATGCGGAGTACAAGAGCAAGGGCATTATTGTGCAGGTGAGTGGAGTTTGTTTCATTTAAGTATCCTCATTGTTGTGTGGTTATCCAAGCAACAATTGCTGTCCTGGCAGCCAGACAAAATCATCCCATTCACTTGCTAACAAATCTGACAATTGCAGATTAAAGATACGGGTTCCCTTTTGTTTGCCCCAGTTAGTAGTTTTCTGAATTTTCTGTGAAATCAAGTCGGTTCCTTAAAATGACAATTAAAAAAGAACTATAGGTATGATCAACTTCCATTTTACTTGAGAGCACCTACTAGGGTTTCAAGTAGGAGATACTCCCTAAAATTGTAAGTAGTCAGCCACATCAGTACAGCGGTGCTTAATCTCCTGGCATGTTTTTGTGCCATCCAGATACAGAAATTCAACAGGTAATCGCATTAAAGTCTAGAATGCAGGGCGTAAATGTCCTTCAATTTAACATTAGTTATTACTGATGCTTTCAACTAGAAAAAGTGTTAGTAAAAGTCAGATCCCTGCAGCTAGAAGTGATTCCCCACAGTGAAGGCATAGTGAAAAGAGCAGCTTTGCATAGGAGGAAATAAGTTCATTTGTAGTATCAGATTTCAAGTTGAAATTGGTATTACCTCATGTACCAGTCTTTAATCTTCCTCCACTCGTTTATATACAGTAATTTCACTGTGTTTGGAGGAAAACCAATTATCTGGCTACAAATTAAGACAATTTATGGCTTAAGAACTCTGAATCAAGCAAAGTGAAGCTGGCTTGGTTTGTATGTCCTTTGGAATTTGCTTTGCGTTTCAGAGCTGCTTGAAACTTGATTGAAATTACCAGACTTTATCAGACTGGTCAGGAAATCCTGCTTATGGATTTCTCATTGCAGAACATAAATCACTTGGTGATTAGGCTTGGTGAAACTTTTCCTACATCTGCACTACAAATAAAGACATGTTTTCTGTAATCAGCTTGGGATCTGGTTACAAACATGGTTAGCTTGTATGTATCGCTCTAGTGCCTACATTTTTGCGTCATGTTTTAAGTTGCGGAACAACCATGTGAAATCCCCAGTCTCTGGCAATTTTAAGACAGTGAGGTGCCAAGATAAAGTACATACACACAGTTTGTTTAGAGCCAACTCTATCATTAGTCTGGATTTTTTGGGGGTGATATATTTTATTGAACCAACTGCATAGTTAGGATAGTTAGACAAGGTCCTCAAGTGACCTGAGGAAGAATGCATTGCATTCAGAAGCTCATCTGACTTTATCCTGACCATGCGGTTGGTGCAATAAAAGTTATCACCCCCCAAAAATCCTTGCCTGTCATGTAATGCCTGGACTATTACAGCTACAACATCACTCTAACACTACAATAACTGGTTTAACACTTGCATATATTATGGGGATGTGGCTGTGGGCAAATAACTTGTTTGCACTTTGCAGGTTTTCCTTGTTCAGAGCATAGCCAGACCTATTGTTTAGAGTACCTTTTGTCTTGGCTTCTCGGCAGCAATTTTGTGTAGAGAGTACTGGAGGAAGGGGAACCAACAGGTATGTAGTTCCATACCCGTAGTGTCCCTCCAGTGGCTTCCTTGTTTGAACCTAAACAAAACATTTTATTAAAATTTCCCTCTGTTGCTAGCACTGGTTCAGTTTCACTAGTGGTAACACAGATGAGAAGTCTAATGAAGACAAGACAACAATGGTTGACAAGGTCCAAAATGCTGGTGTGCAAACCTCAGAGAAAAACTAATTGACTCGAGGAAAATGCAGCCAGTGTATGGTTATGGACAGAGCTGACTTCTAATTGCTTGAAAAGGGGAGGAAGAGTTATATCTGCTGTTCTGATGCAACTTACATCTTCATGCTTTTGGAATAGCAAAGTGAGGCTAAATAGGGGTAACTGAATCCCTGTTTTATTCATAGTTTGTTGCAGCACTTTTGGTATGCTTGTGGTCACGTTTAGGAGTGTGCAGATGAAACAGTTGCATCAGAACAGGTTCTGCCAGTATCATTTGATAATGATCTTGTCTGCCCATACCTTACGGGGTTCATGCTGGCATGAAGCTGTCAATACCAGGCAGGCCCAGAAGTGCAGTTCATAAAACTTTCCATCACTAGATTTAGATAATACAGTATACAGAAATTCTCAGCTTTCCTCAAATAAGATGCCCCTGATTTTAAGATGACCCCCCCCTAATAATTAGATTCCATATATGGAAAGTTAATATTTTTAAATATTTCTTTCAGATATAGAATCTAATTATTGGGGGTTTGCCTGAAACTTGTCGTCCTCCCACTGGTACAGCAGGGAAAATGAATCTGGGAGGGAGGGGTTCAGGTAGCCCTTTGCTTTCTGGCTCCCCCAAACTTTTTCCCCTGGTAGGTCCTTCTTCCTTTCTACTGTCAGACCATGCTCTCTTAGCATTTGGAAGTGAGGAGCGAATTTAAAAACAATAACCTTGAAATTAAACATGGCTGTAGCAATTTGCTTATAGTACCCATAGATTTAGTTCATCTAGAATTGTTGCATGTTGCCTTTTTTTGAAGCTGCTGCAAGTTTTAAGTGTTCGTACATACAATTTTGAGCAGCACTTTGGCACCTACTTATACCTAGTATAAACTCTACATGGTATTAGTCTAAAGCTAAAAGGCTCGTGGTTTACCACATAGTTCACTGGGTTGGGCCTCACCAGAGTCAACACCATTTCAAGCCACAGTGAGCCATGACATTGCACACAATTCACTGTGAATCCCTGTCGCACCGTCTCTCAGCCTGGCGCATATAATTATTACCCTACCCTCCATGGTGACCCCACAGCTCAGCACTGGTCAGTATGTGTGTATGTTCCAGATACCTCCCCCTACTTTTGGCTGTAACTGGGTGTTCTCGTGAAGTCCTGGGATGCTCCAAAAATTTATGATCAGGTGAGGCACAGGGCAGCCTGGTCTGGCTTAACATCATGGAGGGCAGGGCCACTCTAATCATATGTGCCAGGTTGAGAGGGCATGACAGAAGGATTTTGGGTGAATTGTATGCGATGTTGTGGCTCGCTATGACTTGAAATAGTCTTGGCAGTGATGGGGATTGCACTTAATGAGCACCAACGTATGCCTTATTCAGATGGGTTGCACTAACCTGTCCTTGTGGTAGGTTCCCATCAGTATGTTTGCCCAGTGTGGGTCATGTGTTTTCAGGCTACATTTAGTCAACTTCATAGTTGGTTTCCATTTTTGAACACATGCTGCTTTTGGCAGCAGTTTAGTGATAGACTGTGTATTCAGTATGATTCCCTTGTATGTAATTATAAGATAAGGTGGCTTTGTTCCTCATGCCAACTGAGGGAAAATACCTCAACTTGTTTTTGAGTAAATATGGTATATACATTCTGTTCCTATAATGTAAGTTTGCCTTTTGTCATGCTACCTACCAGCATGTGTAGATCTTGATATCTCAGCCCACTGGGATAGTAAATCATGGCAACCTGGCTTCCTACTCTTACTGCCATGCTGGCTGCAGAATCTCATGTTGCTGATAGCATCACTCTTGGTCCCTACAGTTTTAAATGAATAGCCAATCGGAGTTGCATTGGCCTGAAGATAAGATAGCCACCAGCCTTACAGTTTATGGTCAGAATCTCTTGTGCTAATTTTATTTAACTACATGGGCACATTATCACCTGAGCTTGTATAGACTTTTAAAGAATATTACAGGGGTATCTCTCTAGAAAAGACTAATTTACATATCCTCTCCATGCCCTTTAAGAAGGCTTCATCCTCTTTATCTAAAACAAGGTTCATCTCTACAGCTTTCAGTAGGCAAATAGACTTCGCATTTCCAATTGAGATGGTATGTGAAATGGCATATTCCAGTTTATAGCATACCAGTGACCATAGAAAATACTGTGTGAAAAGCAGAAATGCAGAACAGCTTGTTAAAATTCTACATCTGACTCTCTGTTTAAGTTATATCCATTCTACCTGAGTGGAAACACCTTCCTTTGGAAGTTAGTTTTGATCAGTATGGTTTTATTGTAATGCAGAGACACCTCCTCTCCAGCTGCATAAGCCATTTGCACCCTTCGGAAAAAAAAAAGTAGAGAAACACAGCTTCAGAGTCAAGTGTCCCTGTTCATGTATGGAGAAAGGAAGGAAAATCTAGAGCAGAAAATAGTAGCTAAGCTTGAAAGGAATGGGGAAGAATCTGAGGATTGCTGTCAAGATTACCTTGAAAGACCTCCTGTTAATGGGGATACTAAGGTGCTCTGTTCTGCCAAAACATTGCTCTTTA